AACGTGAAAGATTTCAAAAGTTGTGATTAAGGGTTCTTTTGGCAGATATGAACTTGGGGCGTATTGGAGAGCATTCTGTAAATAACAAGCTCTGATTTACCCCCCAAATAGACAGGGAAGCAGCAGGCCAGGCCTTTCTCTACAATGAGACAATTGTGCTCGGAGAACAGCAAGGTGGCTTCAGGCCTGCCAGCTCAGCACACACCACACACTCATGTGCATTTCTGCTCAAATGCCTGACAGACTTCATGATCTCTTGTCTGATTAACTTTTAGGTTCATGTCAGCCAATATTTAAACATGGTGGGATAAAAAATAAGAATTTAAAAACATCGATAGATTTACAATTTCTAGTTCCATCTGTAACAATTAGAGTTCGGCACAATGGCTTCCATGTGGGCTAACCACAGCTTTTCTTCTTCTAAGGAACTCGTGGACTTTTAAGCAGTAAGGAGTTAATTATGACACAGAAGGAGGTGAAGTCACAGAAAAGAATTAATCTATGTGCATAAAACTACCAGCCTTAACAGAATCCTAATAGAAGTCAGGCTGGTGCAGGGTCACGCGAGGACAGGTGAGAGTTGGTCCAGCTTTTTTACCAAAGGGGCACCATCAATCTGAAGCCATACAACCTCCAGCTCAGGGCTCTGATTTTCTTTTTTTTCTCTTGTTCTAATAGAAGCCGAGGTAGAAACACACAATAAACTAATAATTGAAAATTATTCACTAATAATTGAAAATTATGATATTTTGGCCTCTTTGGTTGTTACTGAGAAAATGTGCAAATAGCATAAAATCACATTCTCTGTGTCTGCCAGAAGTCACAGAAATAGACAATTTCAGTGCTTAAGATAGTCACTGTTAGGGAAATTCAAATCATAAGAAGACCTTTCTCTGCAAACTGCCGGGAAGTGAATTTGGAAAGTATTTGTTGTTGCTTCCATCCCAACTAAGGACTCTTCACAACACCAAAAACAAACAAACAAACAAACAAACCCCAAATAACCCAATCAATAAATGGGCCAAGGAACCGAACAGACACTTCACAGAAGAAGAAATACAATCAATCAACAAACATGAGTTTTGACACATTGTACACAGTGTTGTTGAC